GTAATTTTTCGGTCCACCGGATACAAATTCGGTAATATATGAACCAAGACCTTCTTTTTCGAGTTCATCGGTCATATCACCAACAAACTCGCCTGTGGGGACGTCGTATTCCTTAGGTCGTGACACATAGATCACAGAATCTGTATCGTAATACAGCGCTCTTTTGTCCAATTTTTCAAGGGAGTCATACAATTTTAAACGAGCCTGTGCAGTAACAAAGGCTGCTATTACTACATTTACGGTAGACAAAGAGTCAGATGCCTCCTCTCGGTACTCCCAGTTTACAATCAGAGTATTACCTTCATCACCAATTGGGAGCACAGTGTTCACATATATCGAAGGATCAGACATAATTTTAAAGAATTCTGCAGTGTTATTGATAATCGATGTCTTTGCTTGGTTCTAACGCTGTCCAAATTTACCCCAAAACGAGTTGAGCATAAGTTTGGCCAATGATCTCAAGCCAGGATTATCAACAATCTTGGAAAATTCTAGGTGAATATCTTCTCTTTGCAAAAACCGTTCAATATACTGATCTTTTTCGGTGTCTGTTTTACAGTTTGCCGGCCAGCCAGACGATTCTTGCTTAATCTTAATAAATTTGTTCATCATAGTTGTAAATAATCCTGATACATTGTTACTAAACTGGATAGTTTCATATGCCCACACCTCGTATGTTTCTAAAATTGTGTATCCCATTTCAACAGCTTTAAGAACTTCTTCAGTTACCCAGGTTCCGGTTAATGCTCGCTCTTCGCTGGAATGTTGACATTTCTCGTAATTGAGATTTTGTCCACATTTTCGACAAAGAACGAACATTAACTTGTCGTTCATTTTCTGAGGCAACACAGGATGAAAAAGATCTCGAGGAGGAAGGATCTTGCACTTGACAAGACCCGAGATGGAGGCGAGAGGAGGACATTCTGAACCTACGTAGACTTTTGGGTGGCCGACGGGAAACTTTCCGTACTTGCAAACCCATGGATACAGAGAGCAAACGTCAACATATTTTATTTTTTCGTCTTCCATGGCTTTGTAATACTCAACAGTATTTCCCGTACGGCCTCCGTAGAACGCATCTTTAGGATCAAGCGGTGTTTGCTTCACATTTGGGTGTGTTTCTGTATAATTTTGCAACTCTTTGTTGTCAGTTAGCCGACGCTTGAAATCACACTCCCACATCTCAATAACTTCATATTCCAGAGAGCGAAGTCGTTCATTCTTAGCCTGCGTTGTCTCGTATTTACTATTTAATGTTTCGCTAGGATCTTTATGTAGGGGAGTATCTCTTTGATACGTAAAACAACGAGGACACCCGTGGTAATAGCAACCTTCAAATTCAAACACCTGTTTAGTGTCCTCACAATACCCGTCTACTTTTACTCCAGCAACTCGGACCTCTTCGCCTTTAGCAGCATGATGAATATTAACACCTCTTTGGTGTTCCTCCCAAACTAACCATTGGATAGCGACTTTAGATTGATTATCGCGCCATCTGTACCCTCTTTTGGGAATTATACCAATGGTATTTGGTTTGAGAAAGTTGCGTCGAAAGACTTTGTTACAGCTCGACGCTATTGTTGTAGCTTCCATAAACGGGCATACGTTTGTTTCTTTGATTACCAACTCTCTAAACTTGAGACATGATTGTGCTAGAATATCCACGTCAGAGATACAATAATCCACAATTTCTTTTTGAAAATCAAAGACATAATTTTGTTCAACTTTTTCAGCATACCATTTAACTAAAGCCTCTTTGGCCTTTTCATCTTTTACATTATCTGGGTCATAATATTCGAGAGGAGGTATAGGCCCTACATAATTATGATGAGCTACAGTGTTAAAACGGTGGGGGAAGTATCCTTTTTTCAACTCGGAGAAACCAAAGGCCTTTGGAAGTTTGGAGAGGGCCATCGGAAAGTAATTTAATGAATCAATGAAATTGGCATTGCCAACGGTCATCGAAATAAGCTTTGTACCGCGCATAATTAAATCAGAAGTAATATCAGTCTTGCTGAGAATGTATTTGAAAATAAATTGATGGTCAAAACCACCTCCGTTATGAGCTAAAACAGTGACATTCTTAAATTTTTTTCGAAATGTGAAAATATGATCTAAAAGATTAGAGATTACATCCTCATCACTAAAAATTTTTTGTCTGAATCCACACGATTGACAGAAAACAAGTTTGGTTTCTTGAATACAATGATGACAGCACTGATTGGAAACACAAAGGTTAGGTTCGTGAAGAAGAGATGTTCTGACTTCATCTTTGCCATTTTTCGAAACAACTTCCTGACGAGTTGTCTCTTGACGGGTTTCGAGATCATAAAAGATGAAAAGGAAATCTTTGGTGGGTGGTGAACGAGTGTCAGGCTGAATGTAGCAAAGATGATCGGCTGGACAATGTTTATTGCAGATCTTGCAAAATATCTCTCCGCAGGTATGTGTTCTGTTGGTGGGCACAACTTTAAAACAATCCTCACAACGACGTATTTGCGTACAGATACTATGTTGCAAGTGATTGTCAAAACATTTCTGTCCACGGAAAGACCTTTTGCAAGAATCACATTTTACGGCCAGCTCCTCACTGGAACAAGAAGGCGACTGTCGACATCCAGGACACGTTCCCCCGCATCTGTGCTCTTTCTTATCATTAGAAGGAATATGACATTTTTCACAAAAATAACCACAACAAAAAGCTGCCGTTAAAGACACAATGACATTGTAATGACCCTCATGATGAAGCAAATTCAACGAGGATCCAACACCGCTACCCTCAAAGATAACATCACGACCCTTAGAACCATAAGTGTATACTGTTATTTTATAATCTTGTAAATGTCTTTGGAATTGCTGTAGTTCGGGTATTCCAGCCCCTTCCTCGGGTATGGAGACGTCGGCGGCGGTCATTAATTCATGGGCTCTTTTCCCTTGTAATTGTCCAATATCCCGGCGAATCTTTATCGCTTCTGGATCTTTGTCTACGTAGGCTTTAGCAACAACAAGAGCACGAGGTAGACACAAGTTATCTTTGTTGTTAATTGAAACAATACCACGACGTTTAGCACATTCTTCATTAAAAGTATTATAATTTCGTCCTCTAGGACCACCCTTACCGACAGGCATCTCAACCGATGTAATCCCTAAACAGAAAGTTTCTGTATTTAACCCAGTGGAGTTGGATTGATATATGGAAGATATTTTCTCCCATATATCTTCAACTGACACCTCAGCAGCGGGTTTAAAACGCATCCACCCCTGCCCTCTGGCAAAATCCTTAGAACAGAACGTGAATCCTACCATATCGGTAGATTTGACACCCTCCGTTCCTTTGAGGACAATTTGGGTGATTGCGTCTTTTACCCACCCCACAGGTTCCGTACCGTGAGGTATATCTTTAATTTTAAACTCCAACGTACGCCCTTGCAGTCTAAAACGATGGATCTTTTTTGTTGCGTCCTTGACAATATTAAACTTTTGAACAGTGGACATATTTTGAAATTCAAAACTAAAAATATT